AAATACAAAAAAAAAAGTAAATTTTTTTTGAGGGGGTTTGTGGTGTGGGGGGGAGGGGGGGGGGGGAGGGAGGTGGTGCAGAAAAACAAAAGAACAGAAAATTAAAAATACAAAAAAAAAGAAAGTAAAATTGGGGCAACTAAGTAAATTTCTAGATAAGTTGAGTTGAGATCCCTTTGTTTTGGGTGAGTTTCATGGGTCGTATTTGGGCTGCTTAATGGGTCAGAATGAGCTACAAAAAATAATGGGTTAACTTGTGCTCAGCCCAAATTGACCTATGAGCTAAAATGTTTGTAGCCCAACCCATTAATCTCTGGGAGGATTGGGCGGGTTGGATGAGTTTGGGCTCAAATTGCCACCCCTAGACTCATTTCCACATGGTTGATTTGGGATCGATTCCTCTCACCAGCTGCATCCTTAGTCAGAGTTCGTTACACCGGGGTTGCCTAATGTAGTTTACATTTCTTGTGTGACTTGCGAGCTACTGCACAGTGAACTGGTTACCTAGTGTGCAGCTGCGGGATTCGCTGGAAACTTTTTAAAAAAAAAAAAATAGTTGGAATTTCCTGGATATTTTGTTATATTTGATAACTGCAAGCAGCGTTTAGGAATGGGTTCGTTGCTTTTCTGGAAAGTTTCTTGCTTTAGAAAGTAACAACCTTTGCTTTTTGTTGCTCTTCTTATTTTTCCAGCAACAATTTATGGAAATTAAAGATTTTCCCTTTAAAGTCATCCCTTTGTTTGAAAGCATACAATATATCATCTTGACACAAGGTACTCGTGAGTCGTGATATACATCAACAATTTTGATTTATTGGCCTAGGTCTGATTTAATATAATATGGCAAAAGAAATCCTAAAGTTTATTGTTTTTGCTAATTGCTACTTCACTAGATGATTGTATATTGGACTAGAAAATTTTATTGGGTTTACTCGAAGGCCCATAGACATGTGGGCTTTGACCATGAGTATGGGCCCAATGAAGTCCTTTTACGAGTTTCAAAATTACATGGGATGGACCTTTTTTTTGAAGTTGTTACCAGAATTTTAAGGCATGCTACCAGAATTTTGAAGCACGCTGCTAGAATTTTTCATATGATGATTGCCTTGTTTTGTGCTAAATTCTAGTGATCAACATACAGAAATTTTTGGCGATTGTCATAATTTTACCAATCATGATGATCACCATATAAAATTTTCTACCGATTGCCACATCAGTATATGAAAATTTATAGCGATTGTTATATTTTGTGGCAAATTCTAGCAACTATCATATAAACAGTTCTGGTGGTTGTCATGTTTTTGTAGCAAATCTGTATGATCTGATATATCAAAAATTCTGGCAATTGCTAGGAGCGCTTCCCAAAAATTTGACGAATGCTATTTTTTCAAGACTTTTCTTACCGAAGTCAAAAAAATTAATTGCAGTAACGAAATGTCCTAATTTTTTGTCGTTCTCCTTTACGAGTTTACTAGGAAGAAATGACACCATGTAATCACTTTTAGTTGTTCTCTTTACAACACAGCCACACTTTACAGCGATACATATCCTATTTTTAATTCAATAATTAATAAAACGTCTATCGAAAAAATATATTCACTAAATAATCTCGTTACTGTTTAATCCTTGTATGATAAACTCCACACTATAATCTAATAAATATATTTGAATAAATGCCACAACGTCAGTAATGGAAAAACATATTAATAGATTAATAACCTAGAACTTTTTTTAGTAATAACATAGATTTATTATGATACTAAGGTGTCGTTTGGTATGAGGTATTAGAAAAAATAATGCAAGCATTAGCTCTGCGCATTACTAATACCTTGTTTAGTACATTTTTTAAACTTGAGTATTAGTTATATATCATACTTGGTATTATCTTATGTATAAGTAATGCATAGAAAACCATGACATTAGTAATACCAAGGCTATTAATGCATGCATTAGTATGATTAAATTAAAGACAAATTATCCTTAAAGTCCCTTAAAGCTAGAAAATATGGAGGGCATTTTTGTAAACAACTATTTTTCTTAAAAGTTATGCGATGCATTATAATTTTTAATACATCACGCCACACAGTAGATAATAAATAATATCTGCATAACTAATGTTTGCATTACTAACTCATGCATTACTAATACACATTATTTCGCACTATTCTTATACACTCCACCAAACGACCCCTAACACTTCTAGCTATGCCGTGCGGATATCAAACAAGAATCTACTTGTTTTGGTCTTTTTTAAACACAACAAAAGGAAGCAGACAAAGATAAATCCTATTTATTTAGAAAGAAAAATAGTGTCTATGCATATAATTAAAAGCAATGGATGAGAAAAATTGACAGCTTAGAAATGTACATAAATATCAAATGAAGACATCCACAAAAAATATGTTTCAAGACTCGGTAAGTTAAAATTAATTAAGGAAAAGTGCTCTTTTTAGCAATAATTTTCTTTTACTTATTTAATAGAAGTAATTATGTAATTATATTTAATCTCGACGCAGCCTTTATGGATGAATATAATTTAAGTATTGATTTACTATTTATTCAACTATGCTATGTGTATTCGACTTTCGAAGATAGTAGCAGGGCGGATCCAGCCTTTTATGTCACGACCCGGATTCTCCACCCTCGGAAGTCGTGATGGCGCCTACTAGTGAAAGCTAGGCAAGTCAATTTTTTCCACCATTTACCTCTTTCTCATTTTTAATCCATTAACAGTTAAGAACCAACATTTAATAAACAACAAAATTTAATAAGCGAAAGACTGAAATGAAATGTTTAACAATGCTACCAATACCAATCCGTAACAAAATTACCCAAGACTGGTGTCACAATTCCACAGACTGCTTAAGAGTACTACAAATAAAGGTCTGAAAAAGTAATACAACACTGTCTCTGGAAATACATGAAAGAAACAGGATAAAAGATAGAAGGAGACACCAAGGCCTGCGGACGTCTACAGGACTACCTTGGGTCGCCTGATGAACTAGAAGTAGCAACCTCACTGTGGTCCGAAAGCTACAGTATCGGGATCTGCACAAAAGAGTGCAGAGTGTAGAATCAGCACAACCGACCCCATGTGCTGGTAAGTGCCTGGCCTAACCCCGGCAAAGTAGTGACGAGGCTAGGACCAGACTACCAAATAAACCTGTGCAGTTAAATCGTGTACAACGGAAAATAAAGGCAAAACTATACAATTAAAGATAGGAAGGGGAAACATGCTGCAGGGAAATATCAAGTAACAACGGAAATCCAGTAGATAAATGTAAAGAACACTATAACTAAATTATCAACAAGAATCAGGAAATCGAAGACAAGTGTACGACATCACCCTTCGTGCTTTACACTCTCTCACAACTATCATGCACGGCATCTCCCTTCGTGCTTTACACTCTCTCCCAAATATCATGCACGACATCACCCTTCGTGCTTTACACTCTTCCTCACCCAAGCAACAATCACAAAGCAATTTGGGTAAGGGAATCAATAACATCACAATAAAATCAAGTAACCATAGAAAACCAGTAAATAAACGTAAAGAACATCATAACTCAATTATCAACAAGAATCA